TGTAACGATACTATCGGCGAAACAAGGCAAACGTCATGGTTATTTGTGAAAAAATATATTATCATTGTTATTACTGTCTCGAGTTATGCTGAAGTTTATTCAGTCATTCACTCATGGATATTGTCAGTGACTATGACAAGCGCCGGAAATGCTTAAAAAATAAGCGGCGGATCATCAGTTCAAGTGAGTACAGTGACTCAAACATTATGATCCTTCATCTATCCTTCATGGGACCGAATAAACTAAACGGATTAGTTGGTGGCTTACTACTTGGTGATACCTTCTAAAACATCTCACTGTTTTCCTTGAAAACTCGATCATCCATCCATCTGTAGTGACCAAGTGAGAATGCAAATCGTTAAGAACGAACTCTTACCACCTGAACCTAGACACGAAGGAATACAGAGATTTTATGAATACCTAGAATTTGATTAGGCTTTCGTCTGTAACACACTGATAATTCCGAATCCCCAGCCCCATCAAAGAGCTCAGAATGAAGGTGCTTAGAAGTTAGTATGCCGAGACATCCGTAGTCCAAACAGGCTAGTTGAAGAGAAGCTATCCAGACTACTGAGTACACTTTTGAAAAACAGTTTGGGATATTTATGCTGTGCCATTTAATAGACGGTTATAAGTGAAAAAATTTCTATAAATTCCTGTCAGCAACAATTCAAGAATTACTGCTGGACCTAAATGTGGACAAAACAACTCACTTTCAGTTGCTTTTGAAAAACACGCATTATTATGTGAACTAAATTTCCTTGTTAATTCGCAAGTTGTTGGGTGCTTATAAAACTGTATAGCTACATATTTGGATTCTAAAATGGATAGGTTCATTCGGTTCATTTGCATGTCAAATAAGTCAGTCCATTAGGAAATGTCCGGTCCCAAGCCCGGATAAAGGAGGAGGGTTGGACATGGGGTTGGCGACCCCATTCCGTTGAAATCTCACTTGCCAAAAAAACGCTAACCAGAAAAAATAATTCAAACCATTTTAACTCTGCCCTGGGAGTTGGAAGAAGAATTATGACGTCTCGTGATGAAAGCCGAGTTCCCTCGGAAGTCACGGGGCTGATGCCTCTTCTGACAACCAGAGCAACCATTTTTTTAGGTACATGGAACGTTCGTACATTGTGGGAGACTGGAAGACTATTTCAAGTTGCGGCAGAAATGAAACGATACAACCTCGAGGTGCTTGGAATCAGTGAAACGCATTGGACACAAGTAGGACAACTGAGACTAGCTTCAGGGGAACTGCTGTTATACTCTGGTCATGAAGAGGAAAACGCTTCACATACACAAGGAGTTGCACTGATGCTGTCCAAACATGCACAAAAGGCACTGATAGGATGGGAATCTCATGGGCCGAGGATCATTAAAGCATCCTTCAAAACAAAGAAAGAGGACATTACAATGAACGTCATCCAATGTTATGCACCTACCAATGACTACAATGACGACGTTAAAGATCAATTCTACGAAAGGCTGCAGTCAATCGTCGAGAAATGTTCACCAAAGGATTTGACGATTCTTATGGGAGACCTGAATGCCAAGGTTGGAATGGACAACACTGGATATGAAGACATCATGGGACGACATGGACTGGGAGAAAGGAACGAAAACGGTGAGAGATTTGCAAACCTATGTGCCTTCAACAAACTGGTCATCGGTGGCACAATATTCCCGCACAAACGCATATACAAAGCCACAAGGATCTCACCGGATCACACTACTCAAAACCAAATCGACCATATTTGTATTAACAAAACGTTCAGAAGGACCATGGAGGATGTGAGAACCAAGAGAGGAACTGATATAGCCTCAGATCACCACTTGCTGGTCGCCAAAATGAAACTGAAACTAAAGAAGCATTGGACAACGGGGCAGACAACATCACACAAGTTTAATACGGCCTTTCTTCGGGATACTGTAAAGCTCAACGAATTCAAGATAGCCCTCACCAATAGGTTCCAGGCCTTGCACGATATACTCAATGGAGAGGAAGCAACATCGGAGAACAATCGGAAAGGGATCAAAGAGGCAATCACTCCAACATATCAAGAGGTTTTGGGTCACAAGAAGCACGGTCACAAGAAATGGATCTCTGTTGGTACTCTTGGAAAAATGGAAAGGAGGAACAAGAGGGCAGCAATCAATGTAAGCCGAACAAGAGGACAGAAAGTTCAGGCACAAGCTGAATACGCAGAAGCAAACAGGAAAGTGAAGCAGAGCATCAGAGCTGACAAACGAAAATATATGGAAGATCTAGCAATGACGGCGGAAAAGGCTGCAAGGGACGGAAACTTGAGATAATTGCACGAAACAACAAAGAAGCTCGCCGGAAATTATCGTAAACCAGAACGACCAGTGAAAAGCAATGAGGGCAAAGTAATCAGCAACACCGAAGAACAGCGAAATAGGTGGGTAGAGCATTTTAAGGCACTCTTGAATCGACCAGCTCCACTGAACACACCGAACATTGAAGCAGCATCTACGGACCTCCCAATCGATGTTGGCGCATCTACAATTGAAGGAATCAGTATGGCCATCAGACAAATCAAGAGCTGCAAGGCAGCAGGACGTAAAACAAATTACAGCAGAGGGAATGAAAGCAGATGTGGAAGCAACTGCAAAAATACTTCACATTCTCTTCAACAAGATTTGGGATGAGGAACAAGTACCATTAGATTGGAAAGAAGGATACCTGATCAAAATACCAAAGAAAGGCGATCTCAGCAAGTGCGAGAACTACAGAGGCATCACTTTTCTTTCAATACCAGGCAAAGTCTTCAACAGGGTATTGTTGAACAGAATGAAGCACTTCGAAGACGCCCGACTTCGAGACCAACAGGCTGGATTTCATAAGGATCGGTCGTGTTCCGACAAAATTGCAACATTACATATTTTTGTTGAACAATCAATTGAATCGAACTCACCACTATACATCAGCTTCATTGACTACGAGAAAGCATTCGATAGAGTGGACAGGACAACACTATGGAGGCAACTTCGACACTACGGCGTGCCTGAGAAGATAGTTAACATCATACGGAATTCTTATGATGGACTAAACTGCAAAATCGTGCACGGAGATCAGCTGACAGACTCGTACGAGGTGAAGACCAGTGTCCTGGTGATCAACTGGATTATGAAAACGTCAACATGGACAGCTAGGACATAGCTGGACGATCTGGCTCTTCTATCGCACACGCAGCAAAAGACGATGAGTGTAGTGGCAGCCTCTGCACCAGTGGGTCTCAACATACATAAATGGAAAAGCAAAATTCTCCGATGCCACACAACATGCACCAACCAAATCACTCTTGAAGATGCCTTGGAGGACGTTAAAAACCTTTACATATCTGGGCAGCATCATCGACAACCAAGGTGGATCCGATGCAGATGTGTGTGTGGATCGGCAAAGCAAGGGCTGCATTTCTACAGCTGAAAAATATCTGGAACTCCAAACAACTTTCAACCAAAACCAAAATAAGGATTTTCAATACAAATGTCAAGACAGTTCTACTGTATGGAGCGGAGACTTGGAGAACTACCAAAGCCATCATCCAGAAGACACAAGTGTTTACTAACAGCCGTCTACGCAAAATACTTCGGATGCGTTGGCCAGGCACGATCAGTAACAACGTACTGAGGGAGAGAACAAAGCAGATTCCAGTGGAAGAGGAAATCAGGAAGTGGTGGGAGTGGATAGGACACACTCCGCGAAAATCACCCAGCTGCGTCACAGGACAAGTGCTTTCATGGAAAGCTCAGGGTGAAAGGAATAGTGGAAGGCCGAGGAACACACCACGCCGAGAAATAAAGGCATGAGAAGAATGAACGAAAACTGGAAAGGGAAGCCCAAGACAGAGTTGGTTGGAGGAAACTAGCCGGCGGTGTATGCTACATTTGCGGGTAACAGGCGTGAGCAAGTAATATGATTGTCTCAGATTATCTAGATGTTCATCCAGACATGTTGTGGCGCGATAGGTTGACTCAATGAACATAAATCGGTGATTCGATGTCGCTTTAAGCAGAACAACAGCCTATCATCAATACGTCAACGCAACTGGACAGTATTTGATATCGGAGATCAAGACGCCGACCTCCGTTTGGGGAATAACCGTCGATTAGAATTAGACATGCAACCATATACTAACTTACTAACCAGCAACCAATATAACTCCCTGTCAAGTTAATTGGACTACGTTACCTTCGAGTCGAGCTTTTTGAAACGTCTAATAAAATAGAGTATTGATCCTCAGGTAGAAATGCTGAATCAGTTGACGACAAGTAACTAAACGAAGTACACTTCACAAACTCCAAGCCAACACCAACAGGGGCGTTAATCTAGGTGTTCCTAAATTATAGTGTAAGAGACCGACAGAAAGCAGTATAGAACGCGAAATACGCTTACTGCGTTATTATTTCCTAATCTCACCATATAGCTGTTCTCCAAGAAGGTTATCCCTAGTGTTTAGATAGCTCGTCTCACACTTAACAGGCCACAAGAGCGCATATAATGAAATAAGCTGCAGGTACCACTGAAAGGTCTCATCATGGCTTAGTGCTGCGACACGCACCAGAAATGAGATCGATCCCGCCAAAATCTTGTTTCTACTCAGTACCACGATATGCATAGGTCGCGTGAACGATTAATGTATGTAGGTAAACGCGTGCATTACAATCGGTCGTCTGCTTAGATTGGTATGTGGTCACTACATGATGCTTTTGAAACTACTTCATGTTACAGCACATACGATACTCCGGCTTGAAAGGGTAATCACACTTCAGTCAGTTAGCTAAGACTTCGAACTCAGCGTACGCATATCAGTACAAGTTGACACATTAACATAGACTGGACTAGCAATTTTGAATCGCACAATAATCTTGACTGAGCCAAGAAATCTTTAATGATTATATAAATCCCTTGAGAAATATGAAACGCTGACAACCACATTAGCGACGTCTACCACCACAACCCGAATAAAAGAAGAGTTAACGGAAATGAAAAACTATGGTATTTGAGTAATCAGTGTACAAAAGTGATTGGACTAGGCTTACAACACCGGTCAGTTTTCGAACTTGGCCAAAATATCAGCTTCTCGGAAAAGGAAGTACTCCTACAGACATCATACTTTAATTAAATTGTACTTACACTGTCTTCCAGAACGACTTTAGTACCGCCGTACTCAGGGAGAAAAACTTTATCACCAACATTGACACAAACTGGGACAACTTCGCCTTTCTACAAAGGGTATGACGAATAATATGCTACTCACTTCATTTTTTGCTCCTGGGCCATGTGCAACTACAGTTGCTTCGAGCACTTTGCCTTTTGCTTTTTCTGGTAGCATGATCCCACCTTTACTTCTGGTCTCAGCCTCAAAACGTTGTACCAACACTCGATCATAAAGCGGGGCAAACTTTCTAAATGCACGAGCAGCCTAGGTCTATAGATAACGGAACAAATGACAAACCATGCTTTAAGTAGTAGATTCTCGAAGCGCAGTTCGAACAGACCGTAACCAGTTAATGCGCTGACTCGAACAAACAAAAATCTTTAACGGTACTATTTAACGTCCACTGTCAACTATGTACCTGTCAAGCTATTATAATTCCAGTAATTTCTTCGAGCTCTATATTCGTTTTTAATATATGATTACTGGTCTTCATTTGCTTCAAGTAGTTTATCTACTTGACTGTACAGGTTCCAAAAGTAATATGTAGTTTTGTGTCTTCAGATTAGTGTGAATACAGTCACCTCAAATTAGTTAGGTTTCTGGAACCGGTAGATGTCACGTTTATTATTGGAAGACTGATAGGTCACAAAATGCAGTGTTTTAGGTTAGAAAAACAGGAGTTAAGAAAGGACAATAATCAGGTGTAATTAAGTCAACTACGTAAACTGAATGAACAGACATGTGTCAGATTATCAAGCAAACATAAATCAAAAGAAGGAAGAAGGAAGGCAACTGTAAAACATTGTGAAATGCTAGGTAGGGCCGTCCGTGTGTTCCAAAAATAGGTAGAAGTAGTTAAAAGCAATTCTAGGTGCTTTCTGAGGAATTGTTTCTGGGCGTTTTGAGAATGCCTTCCCAGATTTTCTGCACAAGACTGAAGAAGCGAATATGATCAAAAATTTAACGGCGCAGTGAGACAATACTAGATCCCCTATTAAACCTTCATAGGAAACAGGTTGACACATTGCATTTAATTTTCCCACATGTTAAAAATATACTTTCCCACTCTCATCACTTCTTATGTAACTCGCCCCAGGATATTCGCCTACAGTTTGCGAAAAATATCCAAACGGCTTAGGTCTTATACTCTTAGTTTCGCTTGAAAAATGTCGAATATAAAGTCCTATATAGGTCCTTGATCAAATATCGAAATAGATTACAGACTCCATTATAGTTCAGTAATCCTAATCGGCTACTGTTAATTGACGATTTACAATTTGCCGTGACTTCTTGAAACTTGTATTGTGTATTTTTATTCTGAGATCTCTGGATTTGTTCTAAGCCTTAATTTAATTAGCCCATTATCCTTGATCTATAGTTTTCTTTCTTTCGACCTACGCTATTCGATCGTATCACGGTTGTTTTTGTTTGAATATCCGTACGGATAGCTTACTTCGCCTTTCGCATGTCTGGCTTCTTTTTGTCTGAATATAAATGCTTACTCATGCCACATCACAATGAGTTGGCTCGCTCGCCTTCTAAATTTCGCTTCACTCTGCTTGTATCCTTCTCATTATCATATCAGTCTGCACGAAAAATTACATTAAATAAACTCATTCTATGGAATCCGTATTCGGTTTCTAATTACCACCATCGCGCAAACGGGGTTCGCCATAGTATGTTATTTATAATCTGCATGGGAGATTTACTTCGTGGCAACTCGGACATCATAAATTAAGGAGTCAGCCCACGGGTCTGTAGTGAGCCCTACTTAGTACCCAATGCAACCACTTATTTGGTAAGCCCGTCGACGAACATAACACATTGGTCATCCTGACGCCTAATCTTGCGCAGACTATTAAAGACTGTATGCCACAAATTGTTTCGTGATTCTCAGGTCTCCTCGTCAAACTGTTCACTAGGAAGACCATAGTTACATCAACTGAAAGAGCATTTTCACTAGTATCGTCTCGCAGTAACAAAAACCAAACCTTATTTGGGTTTTCACTTTCTGATTTATTATTCCTCTGGGGCTACCTTTTAGACAGTTGTGGTGAAGTCCATAAAGAATGTTCTTGTTTGGGTAACATGGTAAGTATGGCACATCATACGTCACTTTCACATCTCCTCTTAGTTTTCTAAAAACCAAAGGGAACAATAGCGTGTGGAAATGTTTGTCTAATGAGTCCCTCCTTATGACCATCCATTTTGTTTCATTTTGTCTGTATCTCGATTGAAAGATTTAGGCCGCTTTTGAGGTACTGTGCAAAAATATCGTGATTCTTGAAGTGGGGTAAAATGGCTGTTCCAAAAAATGATGAGTATGAATTTTTAGTAACGCTTTCTAGCTCTTTTTCTATACAGTGAAGAACAGCTTGTGTTTTGCCTACATTCACTGTAATCAATCAACGTCGATCACACAATAGATATAACTAGATAAATATAACCACTGAGCGCATTTTTTGCTTGCGCTGTATCGACTTAGTTATATATAACGTAGCACTGTAGACGCAGTGTAGTCATGATGCTTATGTTAGATTCAGGGATCGGGTTTTCATCGACACAATTTTATTGTCAACAGTCACGATTCTGGAATACTTTAACAGAAAAACGCTTGTCTTAAAGAAATAAATGAAGCCAAATTTCTGATTGGTATCTTCCTATCAAATTTACTGCAGCCATGATAAGTGTTTGGAGTGACATACAGGACGTAGTATGAAAAAACGGGTGCCGGAAACCTAATTTCTGTGTGAACAAACGAATGTTGAGATTTTCGGTATTCCACTGCTGTCGATAACTTTGTTCAAGCCAGTAAACTTACACCTTGTCATTATGTTTGAGTCCATTTAAATCCGTTCGATCAACCCTGTAAATCCAAAGTGACTAAGTAATATTGAATCGTTGACAGCTTTGGGGCAAATGTTCTCAACTGACTCATTCATTTGGTTGTCACTTACATAACTTGTGAAATCCAAGGGTCTGCGGACGCCATGAAAGCAACGAAACTTCCGACAACTAACGCGAAATAATGAGAATATGAAATATATGATAGTTTAAAACGTCAAGGCTGATCCGCAGGGAAAACACCGATTCCGGGTGGGTTTTATGGTGTGGTCTAGAATCCAAACAGAGGTTTGGACTGAAGAGTAACTGTCTAGGTAGTTTAGATATGCGCTATTGCCTAGTTGAAACCAAAACAAAGTGATTAAGTAAATGACGGTTCTAGTATTCATCACAAATATAGATGTACATCATTACCCAAACAAATATTACCAATCAGTTATTCCACCAACAATTGTTCAATCAATCAATTAATTAGCAACAATAAATGTTATTCTCTGCTTTCTGAATATATCAGATTCGTTAGAAAGATAATATCTGGTAGCTTTATAACACGGTGTTTCCTATTCTGGAAGACTGCTCCAAATCACAATCAAAATTCACAATTCCAATCAATACAAGCAACAAAATCAGAGGAGGAACAAGACCATATGGCTGAAGCCAAGACTAAATATCAGCAAAAACAACATAAATGCAGTCCAGAAAGAGACATAGAAACTCAGTGAAGGCAAAAAAGAAACTACAATAAAATACAAATATTACCATGTCAAATGGAATCGAACAAACAAACAAAAAGTACAACAGAAGGAATCAGTAAGAACAAATTACAAATGTAATAATAATAATAATGTATACAAGGGGGGATTTTTGCAAAAACCTTCAAACATGGTGTAGCATCTATCATAACGGATTCGTTTTTGGGAAAATCCCTCTATGTATATATTTGTGTTGTGTTCTGGCTGACTCTTTCTGTCCAATATTTTGGTACTCTGTTTAGGCCCATTGTGGGATGTTAATATCTGTATTTTGTTATGATTCATAATTTTGTACTTTTATTGGAGTTTATATGTTTCCTTCTAAACTGTAAATTTGTTCTTTAAATTGATACCTAATATGGCTTCAGCCATATCGGATTCGATACCTCTGTGGTAACTTCGTATACTTGACTGGAAGGACACATTCTTCCACAATTGGAAACTCATTGTATTAATTTCGGATCGGAACAGTATAATGTTGTTTAGGTAATAGTCTATATTCCTTTTTTGAATAAAAATAGAACCGTTCTTACCCAGAAAACTTGTGTTCTGAAATTGGACTAAGCAATGCGCGTATCTGACTTCTAACAGTTTCCAAAATCAAGGTTCGCTGAAGTGAATTTTCTATAGTTATAAACAACATTTGGAGAAGAAGCCTTTGAATATCTTGTTGTCAAAAATAAATCAAGAAACGGAACCGGTGAATTCAAATTTCTGATCAATATTCTATCAATAATTTGGAGTCTCTTTTTCGCTGAAATTCAGGTGCTATAATGAATTCTCGTAAGAAGAAGAAGCCAAGCTCGAATCTGGGTGGAAGCTATGAAGAACAACTGAATGACAGTTCTTATGTTAGAAAGCAAGTGTCTCCTAATTGTTTTCGCTTAAAGGGTTCACTCTCAGATAAGGATGATATTATGTTCAGTACTTATTATCGTAAGCCATTGTCAGAGGGCACTAAAAGTCATAGTTTGAACGAGAATTTTGAAGTACCTGGAAAGATATGATGTCTAAGGCACCGGCCGAGGGCTTAGAATTGCCAAAGGGTGAGTTAATTTATTTTGATGGTCAACATCATGAATATTTTAAATTCGTATGTCAGTTCACCACCTATTTAGAATCTAGAGTCAATGACGATAGCCTGCGTCTACTGTATTTAATCCACTATTGCAAGGGTAAGGCAAAAGCTGCCATTAAAGGGTGCATCATGATGGAAGCCTCTACAGGCTATGAAAGGGCTAAAGATATTCTAAAGCGGCTTTTTGGTCAATCGCACGTGATAGCCCAGGAAACGTTGACTACAACGACGCAGAGCAACTATCGAATTTATCCATCCGCATGCAAAACAGTGCAGTTGAATAGCGCTTCTGAGTTGAATTCTTTGGTAACTGGAGAGAATAGTAAGGCTTTTACCTTGCTCCATGCATTTCCAGTGGGCAGACCTAGCAGTTAGATCGATTAAAGAGGATGGGGAACCGACGTTCGCCGAGCTCACTGAATTTATATTAACTCCTGCAAGAGTAGTTGCTAGTAAATTCGGACGGCTAGCTAATCATCCAAAAATGGGACGGGATGTGAAGACGAGTTGTCACGTGCAATCGGAACATGAGGATGCGTCGACCGTAAGGTCCAACTGTGGCATTTGTACCGGCGACCACATTGCTTGTAAATGTCCCCAATTTTTAGTGCTCACAGTTCGAGATAGATGGACTCACACCAGGAGAAAGAAGATGTGTCTTACCAGATCACCAAGCAGTCAGGTGTGCTTGGCGCTGATTCCAGTACG